AAAACAGGCGCCAGGAGCTGGAGCCAGGCGTCCCACCGCGGTTCCGCTGACTGACCACCCCCATGTCTTGTAGACTCCCCTTTTATTAGATCAATAAAAGGACAGGGGTGCATATTTTGTCGGAAAAATGGCACATGCAACTGTACAACATTTACATGAAGGGAGAGGTGTCAAGTACTGTTCGTTTTGTTTTAAAATGCTCTCGAGATGGATAAATGCACTCCGTGTCATTACGATAATAATAAACCACCTCTTCTTGACGTACTTGAAGTAAATATAGAAAGAAATAAATGTTTCAGGAGGTTTCCTAATCTTTGTTTGGAGTTAAGTTATGATCCACTGTTTTCAAGCATAAACAGATAGGTCAACAATAGACTCCCCTAAAATATCATTAAGTCTAGACATTTCAATTCTTAAAAAGAAAAAAAAATGCCTATTATTGCGAGAAAGTTAACAAATTGTTAAAGTTGTCAATCTTATAATAACACAAAGCCGTAAGTGAGTTCATTAAGCAGCATAGAGTTTATAATTATTAATACGCGTAATATGCCATAAACGTGTGCATTCAAGCGTCTATTTTTAGTTCAATTTGGAGAATGTACAAAGTACTAGATACATTACATTTATTTGTATTGAGTAGAATATAAAATCACATACTGTCTCTAAGCAAAATAATTTCAAGTTAAAAAATAAATGATTAAGATATTGAAAATTCAAATCTATTTCAAAGTTTTTGTTTCTCCGTTTCAGACTTCAGAACCAAAATTTTATCATATATACACAGAATTTTTTTGAAAAAAATAAGTAGTTATTTTACAAATGTTAATAACATTTCGCAATTTTGCAGCAAAATAATTGATTAATACGAATACATACACATAAGGCTACGTTTTAAAATGAATAATAAAATAGTATATTACATAACGAGCATGGAAAGTGATAAATAACGCACAGCGGGAAAGTTGCGCACGAGGCGTTAGCCGAGTGCAGGCAATACCGCGAGTGCGTTAGACACTTTCCTGCAAGTTCTGTACACTATTTTTCCTACGACCATAAATAATTTTTTTCTTTCAAACATATTTTTTTTACATAATTTATTTTTTATAATGGATACAAAAATACGTTGAATAACGATTTATTTTTTATAATGGATACAAAAAAAAAATACGTTAAATGAAAAAATACAAAACATTCGAGTGTGAATTGTGCGTTAGACAAATCGCACAGGTTTTTGACCTCGAACGATATTGCCAATTTTCGCGCATATGTAATTGTGCGTTATGATGTTTCGTATATGGTCGTTGGAAAAGAAATTTTGCATATAGCAAGCTACTTTCCGTGTTTATGCTTTTAATAATCCATAATCAAGAATTCAAAATAATGAAGATATTTTTAAAAACTTTTATACGGGAGGGGAAGATCCTAATATCCACTATTAAAATTTTCTCCTTTTAAGTCGCTTTAAAAATTCGTTTTATTAAACGCATTTGACCATCCTTGTAACAAGAGTAAAAAAAGTGCTCAAGAGTGCTGTGAAAATTTCATAAATACAGGGTGTTAAAAAAAGAAAGGTAATATTTAGTATAGACCAAAACAAACAAAAAAGTCTTAATAAACATGAGTCCGCAAAGGAGATATTGAAAATTATCCGTTTTTTGAAACATTTATTTGCAGTCTGTCCAAACAAAAAAAAAAGAAGCTTCGAGTAAGAATTTTAAAAATTGTCACATTTGATATTTCCGGAATCGTTACTTGCGGACCCATGTTTATTAAGACTTTTTTGTTTATCTTGGTCCCTACTATAACCTACTTAAATATTTTACAATCTTTTTTATCACCCTGTATGTCTTGCATATTTTGTTATATGTAATAAAATGTCACACCTTTTATTTTGAAATAAAATAAAACATTAAAAATGACTAACAGTATTTACCATTTTGACATAGAGATTTAGTAAAATTAATTTGATTTGTTAATCAAATTTGATTAGCCCTATCATAATTTCCTCGTACAGTTGCGGAATTAAAATTTCGGGCAGCATTGTCATTTTCATAATATAAACTCTAAAACAACCTTTACATTAATAACCTCATTTTTTACTCTTGTCATGTTTATGTCATTTTGACTTAAAAATAGCGTCACCGACAGAAAAATTTAATTGTTAAATGTCAGTAATGATGACAGTAAAAAGTAGTGAACTTTTTGAAGTGACAGAAAAATATTGCCCGAAATTTTAATTATGTAACTGTACCAAAAAAAAATATTTATCTATTCACAATTAAGAAAAAACAAAAACATTGTTTAGTGGAAAGGTTCTGCTCTTTCTATTAAAATTATGACATTTTTGACCAGATTTATTTACTTTTATTCAATCATCTATGTTAAAATCGATTTTTATCTATGTACTATTTTCTTCATGTTAAAATAAAATTTTATCGTCTAGATGATAAAAAATACATCCATTGTTGTATATCTGCGGTTGTTGGTTGCTAACGATCTTTGACATTAGATTTCATTGTTGAATTTTACTTTGACATTTATAAATATCGACCAAATTGACTACAAAATTAGTGAGGATTGAATCAAATTTTATACAGAGCGCCCAGAAATGTGGTAGCAACTTTTACACAAAATATCACAAAATGGCACTTTCGAAAAGCCAAATTTTCTTTACCCCCGATTTGAAAGTTTTACGTTTATCAATTCTTGACATTTATTTATCTCAATTTAGATAGCGGCGTTGCCATGCATAAAAAAGGTCTCTCGGCTGACGCCTCGGCGCTAAATTGCTCTCAAAGATAAAATTCAATTTTATCGTCTTGACATAATAACTATTTTGTATGTTTAAACGGTTTTTATTTATTTTTGTAGCCTGAACGTGTCTCTTACATTATTTTATACTGTACTGAATATACTCGTGGCTCAAAAAATATATGAAAAGTGAGGCTAAAATAATTTAAATTCCATCGTCCAATATTTTTCAAATTTTTACCCACATCTGTTTTGGAGATATAAGGCTAACTTGATTTGTTGCACATAATAGACTAGAGGTCAAATTTAATAACGTGTGTTCATTAAAAAAAAACTGAAAAGAAGTGCTTTGACAAAAACATTTTGAATGTCTTTGATTAATTCAATTACCCACTTGTCAAGAGGAGAGATAAGTGAAACTCATTGGTGGACAATACATAAGACGACATACGTTCGCCTACTGGAGTTTTTTTTTTAAATAAATAAACGAGTAATGAATAATTACTTCAGTGCCGAGGTGCATATTAATTTTTTTCTCCAAAATCTCAAATTTCAAGAAAATTTATGCAAATTATTACTTACTTATGTCTACAAAATTTAAGTACAGATCTGGAGTAAAATCTTCTACTCTTTGGCATTGATTCGTATTATTTAAATGACTTTTTAGTAACTTTAGTTTCTGGGCATTTTACAACCACAAAATTTTGGATTTGCTAGTTTTCAACGGCCGCAACTGTACTATCTCGTCCATAAACCGCAAAATAACTAGCCACCATAGAAAACCACGAAACAGGAAAACAATATTTGTAGAATTAAAAACCAAGACAAATTGACCATATTTTTGACATTTAACAATTGATATTGACCATATTTTCGGGTGCATTATTGCAATATTATACGTTTCCACACTGGTATATTTTAAATGTTTTTTTGACATTTCATTAAACGTAACAATCTAAACAAGACATACACTGGCGGACACGGAATTTTGGACGATTTGTCATTCGAGTAACATAAAAATGTAAAACAGGCCTTAGGCAACTAACCTTACTTTCAGTTTTTGTAATTTTTGTCCTGATAGCTGGAGAAAAAATGACAACAAATCAAAATAATTTATTAAACTTATCTAAAAACACGTATCGCTGGCAATATTATTTCGGAAAATCGACGCCAAAAATAAATTGCAACTAAAACTTTAAAATTCTAGTTTCAAACGTCAATCATAATGACAATAAAGCGTGGATTACATTGACATTTTTTGAACTGACATAAATTTGATGTCCAAAATTCCGTGTCCCCAGTGTACGTTCATAAAAATTAGTCTACGTTTTCATTTACTCAAATATATTTTTTAAAATAAGAAGACTATTTACATAAGAGAACTAAAATCTTGCATAGAAAGAATTATGTGAATTGTAATTTTGCGACAATTAACATAATAATAGTTAGAAAGTTATTAAACAAATTTAAAGATCAATTAATTTCATTTAATTTTTTTCTCAACGTAAAAATGTGTTCAAAACAGAAAGAATAAAATAAACAAATGGCAGTATACCAAAACAACCGAATTTTGAGGTTAGATCCGTGTTAAGCACATAAAAATGTAAAACGGGCCTTAGGCAACTAACTTCACTTTCAGTTTTTGTAATTTTTCTCCTGATAGCTCTAGAAAAAATGACAACAAATCAAAATAATTTATTAAACTTATATAAAAACACGTATTGCTGTCAATATTATTTCGGAAAATCGACGCCAAAAATAAATTTCAACTAAAACTTTCAAATTTTAGTTTCAAACGTCAATCATAATGACAATAAAGCGTGCATTACATTGACATTTCTTGAACTGACATAAATTTGATGTCCAAAATTTCGTATCCGCCAGTATACGTTCATAAAAATTAGTCTACGTTTTCATTTACTCAAAAATATTTTAAAAATAAGAAGACTATTTACATAAGAGAACTAAAATCTTGCATAGAAAGAATTATGTGAATTGTAATTTTGCGACAATTAACATATTAATAGTTAGAAAGTTATTAAAAACAAATTTAAAGATTTATTCGTTTCATTTAAATTTTTTCTCAACATGAAAAAATGTGTTCAAAACAGAAAGAATAAAATAAACAAATGGCAGTAGCTTAAAACAATTGAATTTTGAGGTTAGATCCGTGTTAAGCACATTTCATAAAGTGGGCGTAGAGGCCCAACGCGAACAAAGCCAGAAGAGAAAGTTAATTTATTGTTTACACTCGGTCTCCTTTACAACAAAATCCAATTCTTGTGTAGTCTAATTGGATTTTAACGACAATCGGTGAAGGTCGAGCCCAGATGGTCGAATCAAGGCCCATAAAAGGCGAAGCCCAACTTACCGTCGTCGTGGGTGTCAGAATTCCGTTGCCCATCGATGTCATGAAGTCCGCCGTGGACATCTGCGAATTCTGGCTGTCGTTGGAGAAGTCCGAGTTGTTGGACATGCCATCACTCAACTCCAGCTTCATTTCGCACCGAATTTATTATCAATGGTCTCAATAACTCTCGTTCTAACCTTGAATGAACAGCTGTTGTTTCAGAGGTAATTTGGCTCGTTGAGTGGCCTCCTGCACCCAAACGGACACTTGTTACGTCGACAGCCCCCCGATTCCGGCGCAAAATCGCACGGCCCACAAGAAAAACACGACTGGATGACTCACGAAGGGAAACCCTTTCTCAGAACCACTGACTATGATGTCACAACTAAAAATATCCGAATGACTAAAGAACTTTTCGCCAATGGCAAACTTACATTCAACGAAATGAAACGAAGTGAAGCGGAAGAACACGAAACTGTCACGTTCTAACAAGGAGGAGAATGGTTTCGGAGAACGATGACTCATACTCGCTTCTGATTTGTTGCATGTTATTTAATTTTGAAGAGGAGCGATTTTTGTTTGTTTCAATTTTTTACTGTATCAACCACTCACCGGAAACGCGAACCACAACCTTTGATAAGAATGACTCATTTTAGATGTTTTTTACGTAGTTTATGTTTAAACGTTTCAGATAAAAAACATAATAGTTCACCGAGATATACACACAATGCATTAATTCCTATTCGAAATCAACTTTAATGAGCTTGATAAAGGTGGAATAACACAATGGTGTTAATTAAGTACGGCTATTTGGAAATATGGCATTCGGAGTAAACAAATTTTACTTCTCATTTGGTGCTAAAATAATCTTAAATTATTTTTTTTCAGGAACTCAAACATGATGTTTACTACAATAATTATTGTACTTCCTTCACACCTGTTTGTTACGGAAGATTACTAATTGGCACGAATAAATATATGATTCACTAAAAATACACACCTACTAGAACTAGAAGGTACACTCTTACGACCCACATTTTTTTAACAAAAATTGATACGAAAAACATATATCAAGCGCCCTTTTCTTGTATTAGACTCTTTTTTTTTTTAATAATCTTTATTGGTACAAATAAAAGAGGTCAATCCATTCTTAGTGGTAGGCAACCAGTTGTACAGGGTGCTGCATTTTGGATGTCCGAATAGGGAATCTCCGAAACTAAGAGGTTTAGCCAAAAACGAGTAATACATTCTGGGGCTCATTTTTTGAGAAAATAATATCGTCTTTTGTTTTCGACTTATAGACAAAAATTGACATTTCAGCGAAAACTAAAAAAATTCATATCTTCGTTATAATAGAAGACACAGATTTGAAATAAAGACATTATGCAGACACTTTTTTACGTAGAATTTAATAATGTAGTTAACAATTTTTTTCAATTGTTTGTTTAGCCGTAATAAAATAAATTTGTATTTTTTAAATGGGAATCATAGATGGTTATGTCATTTTTAAAAAGCTTGTTTTTTTCTTATCTAAAAATATATATTTGAAACAAATTATTATAATACATTTTTAGCAAAAAATTATCTTTGATTTTTGTTCGCAGTTGGCCATGAAAAAATGTTGCATCTTCAACTAAAAAGATTTAAACTATATTATTCAACCAGTGTCACTAATGAAAGAGTTTTCTAAGTACTAAGTAATGAAAAAAATTCAAATTAAATCGTAAATCAACTTAATGGCGACTAATAACATTTCTTTGTTTTTAAACAAGCTAACATTACCATTGCAACTTCTAGTGATACATAGAATGTTGTAAAAAAAAGCCGCTTTAATTCTTCAAATATATTTTATTGTCAAAAAATGTTTTTCTAATTGTGTTGACTGTTGACACATTTGTTTTTCCTATTTTTAGATTTTTTAAAAATATGTAATAATTTTTTCTGAGGCGCTTGCATATTTGTTCAATGCTTCTACCGTATCTATTTTTTCATCTATTTTACAGTTCACAAAACTCTTATTAATTATTATTTACACATTTGGAGTGAATTAGTATTTCCATGGCCAACTATTATCAAACAAAATATTTTAAATATAGTTATAAAAAATATTCTGTTACAAATATATATTTTTTAAATCAGAAAAAAATAAGCTTTTCAAAATTGCCATAGCCGCCTATAATTTCCATTAAAAAAAATAAAAGTTTATCTTATTACGGCTAAACTAATGACTGAAAAAAATTGTTAACTACATTATTAAATTCCTATTCCGTATCTCCTATAATAACGAAGATATGAATTTTTTTACATTTCGCCAAAATGTCAACTTTTGTCTGTAGTATGTCGAAAACAAAAGACGATAGCGGGATGCGGTTTTAACCAATATTATTTTCTCAAAAAATGAGGCCCAGAATGTATCACTCGTTTTAGGATAAACATCTTAGATTCGGAGTTTCCCTATTCGGACATCCAAAATGCAGCACCCTGTAAAATTTCCCACATTTTTGTGTAAAAATCGTAAATCACAAGAACTTTTGCAAGGCTAGATGAACATTTTGTCCTAATTGAGGTTCTATTTTGTATGTACTTTTTTATACTTCCTAAAAGTAAAATATTGCCGGATTTATGTTAATTAATTGTGACAAAAATTAATTATTAATAAATTAATAACATGTAGATTTTTCAAAACTATCCTCGACATGTATGTATACCGGGTGTGTCAAGTTTTATCTACAGACTCTTAACACTTATTAAAATACATAAAAAACTGTAAAATTAATTACTGACCTTACGAGTAAAACAAAATTGTTCAATCAGACCTATAAAACGTAAAAAAAGAAATCTCATTGCTGCCTTTGTCACCAATTGGTCAAAAATGCATAACAAAAATCAATCTGCAAAAATAAAGAAAATAATAAAAAAAGAATTACTCAAATCGATTAAATCGGTTTTCAACTTTCAGTCCAAAACAGGAATGAGACACGTTTAAAATTATTTTCTATTAAAAACTATACTATGCTACTATACAGGCTGTTCCATCTAAACCCCACATTAGTAGTATTGAGAGTTCGAATAATCGTATTTATTCGAAAATTGGTACATAGCCATAATTTATTACGTCCTCCTAAATGAAAATATTTTCAAGATGGCGGTTATACCGGAAGTTGGTCTCAACTTTCTTATAGGTTTCTTAGGTATATTTTTTACTGCGTTTCTGGATTAATCGAGTTGTTTTAAGGGAGTTTTCATCAGTTTTTCCTATACTTAAATTTAGCCGTTTTTGAAATTCAGCCGTTTTAAAAATTTTTGGATCTGCACTTTCCACTTTAAAAATCGGTAGCTCTGCCATTTTTTTTTAAATTTTGGATGTGTTTTTTTGGCGTTTGAAAAAGAAATCTTAGATCTTTCTTCATGTTTTCAAATTTTAAAAAGAAAATTAACAAATCCTAAAATTTTAAGGTTACTTTTGTAATAATTTAAATATCCATAACTCAATTTTTTCAAATGAAATACCCCAATTTTTATTTTACCAAATAGAAGAGAATTTAATTGTGCATTGATTATTATTATTATATTAACTATATTATTGTATTAACTATACCTAAATTTACTAAGTTTCAAGTTATGGTGACTCTTTGTTAAGACTACAGAAAATTTATTACACACCCGTTTTCGCATAGTTTGCTTTGGAAATCAAAAATGTCCAAATTTTCTCTAAATAAACGTCAACAGTAAATTACTATTTAACAAATAGTGCCAAAATATGAAGAATCAAAATTACTCAAACTTAATTTTTATTTATAGGTACTACCATGCGATCATTTGAATTTATAATTTAAGTAGGCGGTTTTTTTCTTTATAAATGATAAACTAGTGCAAACTGAAGGAAAAAATGTATTCTAATTGAATACTGCTGTTCGAAATCTTATTATTTGACTCTTCAACTTGATTAACTATGATAATCACCGTTTTCATACAAATTAAAAACCTAATAAAGCCTACTATATCTAATTATCAATTCAAGAGATCGCATAATATTAGTTATATTAATTATCAAGTAGCCAGTATTATTTATTATTTTTATTTTTTTAATGAACAACATCATGTTCTGCTCATAATTTTGTTACATTCTCCATAAATATAAAATAAATTCATTAAATCTAAGTTTAAGTAGATTTGATTCTCCATATTTTAATAATTCACTGTCGACATTTATAGAGAAACAATTTTGACATTATTGATTTCCATAGCAAACTATGCGAAAACGGCTAATAGATTTCCCGCAGTCTTAGTAAAAAGTCACCATAACTTAAAAATTATAAAATTTAGGTATAGGGAATGTTAATACAGATCGATGCAGAATTAAATTCTCTTCCATTTAGTAAAATAAAAATTGGGGTATTTCATATGGAAAAATTGAGTTATGGATATTTAAATTATTACAAAAGTAACCTTAAAATTTTGGGGTTTTTTAATTTTGTTTCAAAATTTGAAAACTCCTAGAAGAAAGATCTAAGCCTTCTCTTTCAAACGCCAAAAAAAAAACTAATCCAAAATTTTAAAGAATGGCAGAGTTACCGATTTTTAAATTGGACAAACTCCAAATATTTCAAAAACGGCTAAATTTAGGTATAGGAAAAGCTAATGAAAACTCCCTTAAAATAACCGATTTATCCAAAAACGCAAAAAATATAGCTTTCCATTTAAAATAAGAAAGTTGAGACCGACTTCCGGTACAACCGGAAGTGCCGTCATCTTGAAAATATTTTCATTTAGGAAGACTTAATGGATTATGGCTATGTCCAATTTTCAAATAAATGCGATTATTCGAACTCCTAATACTTCTAATGTGGGGTTTAGACGGAACACCCTGTACACCTACATACATATTGTGCAAAAACAACATTGACAATAAGTTATAGTAACAAGTAATTAAACAAAATTTTAAAAAACAAGCATTTAAGTAAATAACAAATGTTTTGGAAGAAAAAAAAACTAACTACACTCAAATAAGTTTAATATTTTGTTTAGTTAGTATCAATGCAAAACAAGAAAACAGATTTTTATTATTGATTTGTCTGTTTATTTTTAATTTGGTTCGATTAGTGTGGAAATACAGTTGTATGAATATTTTATAGCAAAATAAAGTAGCAAGAAGTCATTTGCGCTCGTTTTATTTTAGCTCATTTATAGTAAAAATGAAACTGAAATACGCAGCGAACTGTAACAATAAATTTCCTCGGCAATTTTGCCACTCAAATAAACAAACACAAAGAAAATACTATGTGATAGTAATAGAACCAGTGCGAGAAACTGAAACACGTGTGTCTTAACAAATAAAACACATCAAAGTTGATGCAAAGAAAAAATACGGTCACTCCATGCTGTGGCAACTGGTTGGTTCTTTGTGCTTTAACACTTGCGTGGTTCGTAAATAGTAATGCAAATGTGGGTAACAGATTATAAATGTGTTATTTAGATATATTAAACTCCATGCAATAAAACTACAATTTTAAGTTTTATTATTTTTTTGACACAATCTTGTGCCAAACATTACAAGAATTTTCAGGTAAAAGTAAATAATAACCTGTTGGTGTGTTGTTTATTTATAAACTACGCAGGTATGTACTCCACCAGGTGTGTTCTATCAGCAGTCTTACTCATTTGTAGTATTAATATTTGCTGCTTTTGTTTCACCTCAAAATAACTGCGCATTATTTTACAATTTCTTATAGTTACCCACTTAAAATACAAACAAAAGTAATTTTGTTGAAAGATTGAGTGGTAAAAAATGCACCGCCGCCCAAAACCATCTGTGTTTCTTCTTTGCTAATCCACTGACAAGTGTTTTGTACTATATTAAGCTTAACAAGGTCAGAACAGTTCATTTGTGGTGAAATGCACAACCACATGAAATAGTTTGCCCTTTTTCGACAACTTCTTTATTTGTCTTCAAACTCTAAACAAAGGAATTCTTCGCTACATAATCATAGCAACAATGTGTTTCTTTGCACAAACAATACATGATGCAATAGGGGTTATTTATTTTACTTACTTTTATGTCTAAAAACTATTACATCCGCACTTTTCTAGGCCTAACGTATATGCTGATCGTTGAGGTAACACACTGTTTGCAAACAATGACCATAAATTTAAATCGATAAATGTTAATTAGTATTGTATAAAGCTTGAATCGAAGTCAAGTGCTTAAATGCATTTTAAGAAAAAAGAAATGAAAAAATAGCTTTATGAAAACTATTATCACAAGGCAAATGGATAAATTATAGACAGATAAAGCGTATCTTACTAATAATAGGGAATTGTTTAAATTTAAATTAAGACTTTTTAGGTGAAATTTAAGTTTTATACAGGTGCGCCAGAACTTGCACCCCAGAAAAAAAATTCAAGTAAGGTAAGATACCAGGAATATGGAAAAAGTGTTTGACATTTGTCATTTTTTTATGTCTATTTAATGATACTGATGATCTTGTATTGGTATGTTATTAATTAAATAATTAATTATTTTTTAAAGGTACAGTTGGAGACAAAATACTTCGGTCGTCACTTTTTTGACACTTTAATGTAATTCAAGCTTTAATGAATGACAATTTCAAATTAATGACAGCTATTATATTTTCCTATCAAAATATGTACATACAACTTGTCAACTATGATTGACAGTAGCTAAAAATAAGGTTAACAGTCCTAAAGCATGCTTTACAATTTAATGTCACTCAAGTGACATTGACGACCAAAGTATTTTGTGTCCAACTGTACAAAAATTTTGCCAATAAAAGAAAGAAATAACATTGAACAGAATTTCAACTTAACTTGTTTCCTTTTTAATAGACTATAGCAACAGAAATAAATAGAGTCAAAGTGCAAAACCTGAAACCCTCATAACTTCTAAATTTTTATAGATAGATTTTTTTAAACATTTTTTCTATGTTCCTGGTATCTTTCCTTACATGACATTTTTCGCTGAGGCGCGAGTTCTGGCGCACCTTGTATAAGTACGTACATCTTTCAGGGACGTATTCTTTGGCAAGAAATTGTTTAGTCTTCACTTTTTAATCTCGTATTAAATGTAGTTCAAGTGGGAAAATAATAGTGCTTGATTATAATACACTCAATAAAAAGTTGGGATAAAATTCGCATAATAAAAAAGATTTTACATGATTGTCACAAGTATGTTGAGATGAAGGCAAGAAAAGTTTTTGTTAAGTTAAAACTTATTATAGGGTATACAGGGTGCGCCAGAACTCGTAAGGTAAGATACCAGGAACATGGAAAAATTTCGAAGTTATGAGGGTTTAAAGTTTGCACTTTGACCCTATTTATTTCTGTTGGAAAAATAATTTTTCAAGTTTTTTGCTATAGGCTATTAAAAGAGGAAACAAGAAAGCTGTATCCTAAATTGTAACTATGTTCAATGTTATTTGTGGCTTTTATTGGCAAAATTTTTGTCCCTTTACTAAATAATTGTAAAAAAAAACATATACAAGATCATCAGTATCATTAAATAGGTATAAAAAATGTCAAATGTCAAAATTTTTGACAGATAGAATTTTTTAAACATTTTTTTCATGTTCCTGGTATCTTAGGTTTGGTGGCGCCATTCATGGCTGAAATTAGCAACACTCCAACGATTAAGAGTGATTAGAAAACTTTATCTATTATAGATTTTTATTGTATATAAAATTTACCATAAATTAATATGTAAACTAAACTTCTAAAGTTAATTATAATAAAAATAAAGTAGTTATGGCAAAAACAATTACGCAACTATAAGATTCGTAAAAATTAAACATATATGTACAAATAAAAATTCTGTGAAATAAATAAAAGTCCTGTCATGCTAAAACTCTTATTCGATTTCCAAGGGAAACTCCTCAATCTGTTCACACATAGAATTAAATGCCGACGCCCAATTTTCATATTCTTGCTCCTGAAACATTTTTATTAAAATTATTTTTAAAGACATTCGATTATTTAATTTCCATTTACCTCTTCCTTAGTCATCATATCTTTGCGTTTTCTATATTTTTTATTATCAACCGCTTTTTTCTTTCTTGCAGCAGTTTTTTCGTCCTGTAACTGTTACAAAACTTTCAATTTGCGTTTAAAAAAATTGCCAAAACTCACCTCTAGAAGATTCTGAGTTGGTTCACAGTCTTCAAATAACCTTATTTCACCACCACTTCGGCTCTCATTGTCACTAAGATCATACTCCTCACTTTCGTCATCACTTGATGGTAACTTTTCCATAATTTTAACTTTACGTTTTCGCATGTATTTTTTATCGTTTTCGCACATAGAAAATCTGAACGGGTTTTGGTCAGCATTTTTCTTTGGCAAAATTTCTTCAATGCTTTCGTCATCAACTGAAGTAAAACCAAAGTTTGTCTCGTTGAGATTTGATCTTTTTGCAAGTTTAATCGGCGTCGAAATTACACGAGATTCAATTACATTTTCATTTCTTTCGCCCAAAATCTTTCTTTTAACTGGATGAACTTTTTCGCAAAAGGTGGTTCTATTTTTCAGGGGACTAAGTTGGTCACTGTCGAAAAGACTACTCTGTGTGATGTTCACATTTTCCTTATTTTCGTTGTTGGGACAAAAATATTCAGTGAGGGTTTTTTGGACCGGTGTTCTCCGACTTTCCTGAAATTTTTTCCGTGGTGTATGCTCAAATTCTTGGAATTTGTCAACGATAGTATGATCCAAGACCATTTCTTGATTAATGCTCGGTAGTGATGATTTTTTAAGTGTAATAAAATGTGGATTACGGTGTACGTTGACATCATTGAACCTCCAAGGAGTCAAAAGGTTGTTGACCATGGTGCTATTTGCGTCAGGTCGGCCCTCCCTAAATAAACCCGGACTCACAAGACTTAAGTTTAATTCAACAGGGGGCTTCAGTTGAATATTACTGAGGATTTTTATTTTTGGTTTTTCAACATTCTCATTGATATCAAAACCGAAAAACTCTTCATTAACTTCTTCAAGTTTGTGGAGATTTGCTGGACTCGCGTGACTTAAATTTGACTCATCACTGAGGATATTAATATTTGGTTTTTCAATATTCTTATTGAGAGCAAAACCGGAAATTTCTTTATTACTTTCTTTAGGTTTGTGAAGATTTTCTATAGGAATTCTCTCAAGTAGTACTACAGGAACCTTCCCCTTTTGTACTTTCTTTGCCTGATTTTCCTCAGTTTTCTTAAGATCAGTGCAAACACCTTTCTGACTTCTATTTTTCGCCCTGATTTTGATTTTTCTAAGAATACTCTGGATTGTCTTATTGTATTCATCATAACTTGAATCCTCATCATACTTTTGTTTTTTTCTCTTTTTGTACTTCTCACTGTCTGAGTCAAATTCATACAAGTCTCCTTTACGTTTCTTGGGTTTTTCTTCTTTCAGAGGTTGTTTGTAAATGGGCAACTTTTTAAAATTATCAGTTTTTGATTCATTTCTTGTCAATTCTAAACTGCTTTCAGCATAATTAACATCTTTCTTCTTCCTAATTCTAGATACGAGTGGGGTTTTCACAGGGGATAAAACTTTGTTTTGTATTGGAGGTTTTGATGTATCAATAAGTACTTTTTTCACAGCTTTCTGTTTTAAACTCTTTCCTGTACTATTGTTAACACTGATTTTCTTTTGGGGTTTTTTCCCTGGGGATCCAGTTTTTACAGAAACATTCGCGCACTTCTTTTGCACTTCGAGTTTAGATACCGAGGAAGCTTTTAGGCGATTATTTGACCGTGTTGAGGGCCTCGAATCAGTTTTCTTCGTGAATTCGCTAGAAATCGACTCCTTTTTCGAATGAGAAGCCTCACAAACATCTTTCTTCTGTCTCTTCGAAGCAACGCACTTTTTAGCCTCGTGTTGAGTCTTCGGTTTTTCCACTGTTTTCTTCTCGTTTTTCTTTGATCTGAGATTCATTTTATTGTAACTTTTCACTGTTTTTAAACAGCTTTTATATAACCTCAACGGCGGCAAACAAACAAGTCATTGAATTTGGTGATTTTCGCGTTTGCACTAGTGTCACTGTCAAGTGTCAACGATCGCGTCCTTTATTTATTTGTTATGAAGTAAAAAATATTTCATAAATTACTGAAAAATGCTATGAGAGTAATCTAGAAGAATAAAAACGCTAATAAAGTGTGAGAGTGTCTCGAAGAGGGTTGTTTTATACGATGGGGAGCTACGCGAAGGCTATTATGACAGGTTTCATATGCAGATTGTGCTCGGAACAGAAGAAAAAGGTCATACATTTATACAGTGGCAAGGCTAAAAAATTGGCTTTAATGGAAAAAATTAAGCTACTGCCTATCACAGTGAGTATTCCTACAATAATTTTAGTATTTCTAATTTGGAATCGTAGATTGACAAATACGATAACTTACCAAAGACAGTTTGTGAACAGTGTATTGAAAGGTTGGAAATTCAGTACAATCTCGTACTCAAAATAAAGAAGAGTAATTCAATTCAGAGAAGTCACAGGTTATTCCATGTAAGTCTACCAATATTCGTCCCGAATATAAAATATTCATTAAAGTATTGTAGAGTAATGGTAGGTGTCCGGTAGAGTGCCCCCTGCACGGCATTCATGATCCAAATTGGGCTGGTTTAGATAGTGATGAATTATAATTAGTTTGTGTAATTTAATGTACTGTTTTATCCTAAGTTTAGTTTTTCGTTCTAATTGTGATTTTTCTTTGCAATAAAATATCATCAATAAGTTTTGTATTTAATTAAAATATATAATTTAACATACACTTATAATAGAAAAATGTACAATTTTTAAATATATCACAATAGATTATGATTCTAATTACAAAACACTTCTATTTCAATAATTATTCTAACTAGAGCACGTAAAAAACTGAAAACAAAAACAAATGTGGTCTCATCAGTGATATTTTTCAACCCTATAGAACAAACTATGCGAAATATTTCGATTCAAACAGAATTTACATTAATCCCGAAATTTGAAAAAAAGGAACTGATCTGTGCATCATAAAAATTAACATCTTAAGATTAATTTCATAAGCAGGAAGTTATCCATTACAATCCTAAGAACATTTAAAAAGGCTCAATGTTACGTTTAAAAAATTACTAATTGAAAATACGCATTTCTGGTTTATAATCCCACTGAGTCTCTTTAAAATGTGAATAACTTTTCAGTCATTTATTAAACGAAATTTTTGTTAGAAGACTCATCAAAAATCATTAATAAGTTAATCTAATTTAGCCTATTACCGAGAGAAATGGAATCGAAAAAAAAAGCTATTCAATGAAATAAAAAAAAAAACTATCTTCCGGTGAATCCCCGCCACATCGACGCAAGACTTTGAGCAGCACTAGTGACAAGTCCTCCTGCCATACTTGTAGCTTGTTGAGTAGTGATCATTTGCGCCGATTGTACTGGGGGCGTGACAGTCGAGACATCAGGACAGGGAATATGGGGCACCTAAACAATATTAATAACAATTAATAATTAAAAAGAAAATTATTACAGTTTCCCACTCCCGGTGGAAGCTATCGCCCTCATCTGAATCAGTATTATCACCACTGAATTCCAAATCCCTTGTTAGGGGTTTTTCAAGCGATTCGGCTTGATGACCATCAACTTCAAACGGCCCTTGTCTAAAAAATCTGTTTTTGGATGGTTTTTCCAGTAAAAACACAAACCTTCCGAGATGCGGATTGCTAGTGTCGATCAGCCTCAGTAGATTATGTATAGTTTCGCACGCTTTTAGATAAGACAGATCAATATTTTGGGAGAAACACAAGTATAAAACGTTAGCATTAAGTCGTGCTACTCGTCGTGTAAACTGGGCTTCGTCCATGTAACTCCCGCAGAAATCGCTGTTAAAACAAGATGAATAAACCGAAATTAGGTATTTTACTGTACCTGTACACCATACGATATGGTAGACGGACGTTGAAATAAAATGCTAAAACGTTAATAAGTTGGGCCGTGTAAGTAAGGGCTGCGCTGATGTTATAACCGGGGTTGTGTTCGACCAGGTCGGGGTTTGGGTTTACAGGGACGACATCTTTGTTCTTCGAAACTAAAATTGTATAATATTTTTTAAGCACGAATCTCAAAATGAAAATCAATTTTTGGTGTTTAACACTTAAAAAAAAACATTTTTTTGTATTCTAGTTTGACTATACTACGACTTCAAGAGGAAACATCATTTTCTTCCTTCGAAGTTTCTTTTTAAAACGAATTTCTGCGACAGACAACATAAGTCTTACAACATCAGGGTATATGGATTTAAAAAACAAACTATTTTAACTCTCATTACATGTTTTAGAACAATTGGTGTAAGGAAGCTTTTGATTTTCTCACTATAATTGGTAACAAGCTGATATCTGTTTCTGGCGAAATAAAAGCTAAACAATACTTGTTTGAGAAGATCTCCCTTGCAATTCAACGTGGAAATGCTGCTAGCATTTGGGGCACCTTCTCAGAGTCCGCCTTATTAGCCGAAATTTTTGTTTTGTAATTTTTACTTATACATGTCTATTTGATTTATTAATGGTAATACGTAATAAATTCTAATATACAGGGGTGCGCCCGCCAGAACTCGCGCCCCAGAGAAAAATTTCAAGTAAGATAAGATACCAGGAACATGAAAAAAATGTTTAAAAAATTCTCTGTCAAAAAATTTTGACATTTATTTTTTGACATTTGACATTTTTTTTATATCTATTTAAGGATACTGATGATCTTGTATATGTTTATTACAATTATTTAGTAAAAAAAATTTGCCACTAAAAACCACAAATGACATTGAACAGAGTTACAATTTAGGATACAGCTTCTTTGTTTCCTCTTTTAATAGCCTATAGCAAAAAAACTTGAAAAATTATTTTTCCAACAGAAATAAATAGAGTCAAAGTGTAAACTTTAAACCCTTATAACTTCGAAATTTTTATAGATAATTTTTTTTAACATTTTTTCCTTGTTCCTGGTATCTTACCTTATATGACATTTTTCTCTGGGGCGCGAGTTCTGGCGCAGCCTGTATATTAAGGCTTCATTTTTATGAACAAAAGTGATTGTTTACCTCATGTCCTAAGCAAATGGTAATAAAAAACACCTAGTCGTGCGGTTGAGCCAAAAGTAGTGATTTTGAGGTATGTGCAAACAGGCGACAGTAGAGCTCAAAAAAAGTCAAAATAACTCAACTTGTCTTATCCGAATGTTTCTCAGATTTAGAGGGTGAAACCTCCTGGCGATGGCATTGAAAAAATATCAAAATAATGCAACATAAACTAATTTTGAACCTTTTGAGTACTCTATCCCAAAGTTTACATTTCTACACCTTTTTCAAAAGTGTAATTCAGAAAGCGTAACATATATTTCAGAAAACGTTAATTGTAATTTAGATTAGTCAATTGTATTTCAGAAAGTATTAATTGTAATTCAGAACCGTAAACTGAATTTCAGAAACCATCAGATGTGATTCAGATGAATTAATTTAACTTCAGAAAGTGTAAATTAAAATTCAGATTAGTCAATTGTATTTCAGAAAGTGTTAGTTATAATTCAGAGTTTGTCATTTGTAATTGAGAATTCGCCAATTGTTATTCAGAATTCGTTATTTTCATTTAAAAATTACATTACCAAAATTCCTTTGTAAATAAAATATCTCATTTATTTTGCAAACTGGCAAGTTTATGTAATTCTTTAATACTGAAAATAAAATAACTCGTGTTTATGTGTAAACTTCATTTTGAGATAACAGTAAGTTACTCATCTGAATTACAATTGATATTTTCTGGATTACATGTAACATGAAATTGAATTTATTTACTGTTCTGAATTACATGTAATGGTTTCTGAATTACAATTATTACTTTATGAAATACAATTGACTAATCTGAATTCCAATTTATGCTTTCTGAAATTAAATTAACTAATCCGAATTACATCTCATGGTTTCTTAAACTCATTTTACTCTTTTGAATTACAATTAACACTTTCTGAAACTAAATTTACTAATACTAATCTGAATTACATGTGATGGTTTCTGAATTACACTTGAAAAAGGTGCAATAACCGGTAACATTTAAGGTAATAAAATTGCATGATATTTTCAACAAAAAAAATTGATCCTAAATTTTTACCGTTTTATGATTTCTTCTTTCTGTGGCTGTTTTTACTAACCTCAGAGATCATATTTGTTTACGATTTAAGTTGGTGAAGTTTAAGGCTGTGTCGCAAATTTAATTTTATTCGACAAACAAAACCCTCTCTATTTGAAAAACTATTAACATTCAGATAAGACAAGTTGAGTTATTTTGACTTGTTTTGAGCTCTACTATCACCTGTTTTAATATTTGCACATACCTCAAAATCACCCTGTACAGTGTTACTTCATGAGAGCAGTATTCCTGAATTTTGTTGCTGCAACCAACAATACCAATGGTACTAACTACTAAATTAAATACAGGGTGTTTCACATAATTTTACAAGGCCTGTGCCTGTAAGATGCAATCAATAATACATATTCCGTTACGAACTCGATTACAAATTTTGAAAAATTGGATAATCTTCTCTAGTTTGTTCACCCTTTCAAAAATTACAACGTTTTTAGTTAGTTCGTGATTAAGATAGATAAACTAGAATCATATTCATACCGTCTCTTGATAGAACAAATGATAATTGTTTCAGAAAAACTGCAGTTTATGACTATTAATGTAACAGTGATTAGTTTGAAAACTAGTAAATGTGGTCAAATCCTGTCGGATTTGATTAAGAGTTTCATTTTTATTTAGTAAAGTATTTTTTAGATTGCAAACAATAATGTTTAGGTCACTTTGAGTAGCTTCAGGTCGGTTCAGGTCATTTTGGGTTACTTTGGCTTGGAGTAAAAAGAATGTGTTAAATGTATTGACTTTTTGATTTTCAAAAGAAGAAAAATTCTTAGGGAAATGTTTAAATTTGGTAGTAAAAATGCCAATCGAGACGTTTCCAAACAAAAGACAGTTGGGGAGACTAAGAAAGTGTTAGATGTACTGAATTAAAAAATTTCTAGACTTGCAAAAAAAGTTTAAAAATGTATTAAAAAAGTGCTTAGATTAAAAAAAAATGTTAATAGAGACGTTTAAAAACATCGTGCTACAAAAGACAGTTGGGGAGACTAAGAAAGTGTCAGATATGCAGGATTAAAAAAATTGTAGACTTGCAAAAAACATTTAAAAATTAAAATAAATAATTAAATATGCTGCCGCAGGAGCAATTTTCTTGCATTCTCTATGGATTAACCCCATTTTTCCTTATTTGTGTAATAATACATTGTATTAACGAAAACTCACTGTTACTTTTTAAATGTCAAATTGAAAAGATATGCAAAGTATTCTTGGATTCAATGTTATAATTTTTAAAAATGAGGAAGCTAGACGCCTATGTGAATTGTATAATGGGTTGCAGCACAAATTATTTCAGAACTAACTCTCCTGTGACTAACCCTGTATGATCAATAACCATTCCAGCTCAAAGAAATAGATCATTCAAGAAATTATTAATCTTTCAAGACAAACTTCTTCGCCCAATGCTGCATTATTGGGTTTTAAAAGTGAAATAACGTTTAAAAGTTATCTATTAATAAGAAAAGTTTTGTCTTTCTATAATTTTGTCCTTACTATAAGGTTCTTTTTGTAAACTTTTGAAAACTAAAGTGTTTGAAAAACAAAATTTGCTTGAAACTCATGTGTACCTAAATACATCTACAGGTTTTTTGATCGACAGTATGTCCCCGGAATAAGTTTACAAGAGGAAAACAATTTTTATCTTTGACTTTACGCTAAAACTTCAAAGGAATAACATTTTCTGCTTAACTTATAACGAGTAATTCTGTAATTAAAACTTTATCATTCTGACTCGGTGGAAAGAAAAGTTCTTTTTTTTTAAACGTATTTTCTGCTGGAACCATAAAAGCTAAAGTACATAAAAATTCACTTTAGCTCCTCATAACGTAATATACTATTCTCTGCTTTCATATTGGCGGTTTTATTTTTTTGACAACGATGTTATTTCTCTAATAAAAAGTAATTGCAGCCCCACAACATATGATGAAAAATTATTTAGGTACATTTCCTTGCTGTTGTAAATTATTTGTCATGCAGTTTTTTCAAATTCTAAAAAAATAATCACGATTAAACCAGATTAAAAATTGACTTTCATTTTAAGATGTTGTAAATCTAGGATTATTTGCGCTGTTTTGTTGGTCAGTTTGTAGTGAAGTGATAAAATAAATTGCGTTTTATTTTGCAATTTTTTACATCCCAATTTCTGATGTAAACAATTGCGCAATAATAAAAATTTCTTTTGTATTTGTTTTCTAAATTCATGAAATAACGCAAATTTACCCCAAAAATTGTAGAGCGAGTAATTCCCTGACCCGGGCAGAGTCGGTTCCACAATGGAATATTGCAGCTCACTTGAATCAGTTAAAAAATCTGCATATTCCCACCTATCCCTTACATACATAGTTTGTGAGGCTTCTGCGATTGCACTAACCATATCAGATTCAGCCGATTCAACTTCCCTAAAAATACCATTTACATAACCATAAAAACAAACTGCTTACGTACAATTTCGGTTCCACTTTTTTGATAGGAAACACATATTTGAGTTGGTCAATTCTGAGTCTCACAAGTTTCATAATCTCGCGTCGTTTCTGCTCAAGCAACTCTCGTTGTTTCTCAACTTTGTCTCTTTTATCAGCAGCATACTGTTCAATTTGTGACACTTTCTGGTCATATTTGATCAACTTTTCCGAAGTTCTTTTAACTTCCTCTTTTAACCTATTTAAGTCGGCGATGTATTTGAGACGTTTCTGCTTTTTCTCTTCCACGGCAAGTTTAATAATTCTATTCCTGTCTCTGCACTGCCTGATCTTGGAATGCTACAAATCAAACTTAAGCCCCCGAAGCCACCAACCAACAACAATGTCTTACCAACACATCAGCCTTCTGTCTTGACTCAAAGTGTTTAAGACACTTCTTCTCCAAATTCTTCTTGTTATCCTCGAGTTCTAGTAACAGTTTACGTTTATCTAAATAACTGAAAGCCACAGATAAGTTTTCGAGCGTTGTTACCCTTTGGAAAGTTATATTTACCTTTCCGCGACTTGATGTTTTGAATGGTAGAAGAGGCCACTGTGGATGCAATCTTTGCAATAAAACACTTTTCGGGAGTTGCAGCACAACAAGCACTTTTGTCTTGACAAACTTAGACGACTGCCACTGTCTATCGACGAGGAAATATGAAAATCTTTGGGAGCAGTGCTACTTTCGTCTGAACTGCTGGTAGCCATAACAAAACTAATTTATTCATGCACGAGTCACTTTTTAACAACTAATAACTCGCGGAATGATAACGAAAGAGGCCAAAGGCGAGTGAAAAATCACGGAAATTTTTAAAGAAAATTAAGGGAAATTAACAGTAAAAAATCACGTTTGTTTAGTTTCTAACAAAACAAAAATTTTCGCCACCTGTCAAAAACAACGCGCCAAATTTGAATCTGTTTGCTAACCTTTCAAAATAAATAACACAGGGTGACAAAAAAAAAGTCATGTCGGGACAACTTGACAAATTTTATATTATTTTGTTCGTCTCAGTGAGACAAATCAAATGCACTAAAAAAAATTTCAAAAAGTCCACACACTTTGAACTAAATAATTTTTTCTAATTTAAATGAATTTAAAATACTTTAATTTTAAAAAATCATTACTCAATAACTATTAGGCCGATTTCCTTCAAATAAAGACCATTCTAAAGGGATGGACTTGCCCTTTAGAATGATATGCAATTTGAAATTGAATAATGGCAAACTTTTTTCGAACAGTCTTCGAAAAAGTTCGAAGTAAATCGAAATAATCTAAGAAAAACCTTACGAGTATTTTTTTTTCATCATTACCATCGTGTAAAGCATCTCTTTATTAGTTGTAATCCAAATTTTCAAAAAAATACCGAGTAGTTTTCAAGATATGATTTTTGAAGTCAAGCATTGCTCCATATAGGAGAAATGCATGTTAATCTTACTTAAAATTGCATTTTTATAAAAGTATTTGTTTTAAGACTCTTCTTTTGCTTAAAAATGGTCAATTGCACCTTCTTTGTTCTAAACAGAATAAACAAAAACTGTTTGTTTACTTATAACAAATAAAGAGTACCTGCGTACTAATTAAAGCAAATAAAGAGTTTTTTTGTGGTAAAAATGACCACTGATCATTGAGCAAAGAGGATGTAGAAATTTAAGGCACAAGCCTTAAATATAAGGGCAAATCTTTTTCAAACCAAATCACTTTTCATTCAGATTTCGACTTGTTCACTTTGTTCTAGCTTTCTGAACTTTTTTTTGAAAATGTTCTGAGTAAATGCTTTCTCATCACTTTCGAGTGATGTTGAATGCAATAAGTCAGATGCTTCATGTGCAAAATTATTTAGTTCAAAGTGTGTGGACTTGAAATTTTTTTAGTGCATTTGATTTGTCTTACATGACTTTTTTTTGTCGCCCTGTGTAATTTTGAGATTCCTTCATTGGAGAAATTATGATTTGAAAAAAATAAATTGTGAAAAAATCTCTTAATTAAGCTGAGTAAAGAACAGTGGTGTGGAGGGTTGGGGCAATAAATAAAAAAATGTTATACTTAAATAATTTAATCATAATTATTAGAGTATTCTCAATTTATCTGAAATATACAGCACACATTCTGATTTATACACATGTTGATATAGATTATGTAGTTAAAAAATAGAATTTCAACGAATTTTTTGAAATCACGATGGCTGTACAGAGATAACGAATCAATGCGCAATGATATGATGAGAAGTACCGTTGTTAATAAATGTTTGCATAGATCGCAAAATAAAAGTAAAGAAAACAACTACAAACATTTATTATTTTTAAAAGTGGTAAAGAGGATGGCCACATACAATTGGCTAAACGTACAGTGGCACCTCTAATTTAAAATAGTAATTACAAATTTTACATTATTATCCTATGAGGAAAACGCTGATGAAAAATGATGAGCTTTGTGCATAACATACAAAACTTTAACTACTTACGAAAAAAAACAGGATCACTTTTATAGTATATTGGTAACTAATAAAAGAAAACATTAGGCCCTAATTTTAAAAGGAATAATAAGCAATTACAAAATCGTTCCTGGTGTTAATGAATAAAAAGTACAGAGGCTGCGATAAAATTATATTTTAATATTACAAATTCCTAATGCCAATCAAGCTTATCCTTTTAAATAAATAAAACAGCAATAGCCTAAAATTAACCTCAACACCTGAAAGTGCTCTCCAAATTTAGTTGAAAGGGTCCAAATCCTGCAATAAACTTAACATTTTAGTTTTCAGTTCAGCTCAAGTCACCCAAAATATTTTAGAAAAAAGCAATCAAGCACAAACAGTGCAAGCATGTTTTTTAAACCACAATTTAATTCACTACATTAAATTGTGATCGAAAAATGATCCAATCAAAGCGACACTAATTTATATAACAAATTTAAAGTCTTTCATGTTCTCGCTAACACAACGAAATTTTATTACATTTAGGATGGACTAAGATTCACGAAAATTCACAAGTCTAATTTTAAAAATAACCCAACAAGTTTAAAACTTTTACCACACTATGATTATACACCGACATCCATGACATCTCTTCATAAAAAAATATTATTCATTTTCTATCCATATAGAGTATCTAGCTAATAAAAACTACTCCAGAAGTTGATATACAGGTTGGTTCGGACCAAGTCGCCCCGGCTGATAACACCTAAACTTACTTCTTTTTTTCAAAAAGTAAATATTTGAGTAATAATATTCATTCTTGGCTTTCTTAATAAATGTATCAATTTTTTTTAGCACATCCGGTGTTGCCGGTAATGCTACCAAATTTAGTTTTTCAAATGGAACACCTATGTTTTTTTTCCTCCAAACAATAATATTGACATGAAAGATACGGTAAATCACTATTTATTACATTTTGCGTAACACAATGCAATCAGAAAACATCTTAAATCTTAGAATTTTATAAGGAAATTGGTCGCGTAGCCTGATTTTTAATTTTAAAAGAAAGGAGTAAATAAAAAAATGCTTGGATACAGTTTAATCGTTGGTTTAACAAATCTAATTTGTCAGTTATGATGAGAGAATTCTCTTATGGAAACTCTTGGATTTTCTTCGAGTGATAACAGAACATTCAGATTTCTATTTTCTTGTTCTTCACTAAGAACCGCGTTTTTTTGGTTTTAAGAAGCGAACCTGTTCGTCTCAGTTGTTTTTCAATTCGACTAAATTTCCAACGATTTGGGTGAACTCTATTTGAGTATTTTTCTCTATACTATCCTTCAGCTTCCGCTCTATTTTTATTGCACTTAAAAAACATTTCAAGCTAATCTACCAAATCGTCGTAATATCATCCATTATTAAAAATCTCAATAAGATTTATTGACAAATTAGGCTTTGTCAAACTAACAATTAAAAAGTATCCAAGCATATTGCGTTTTGCATGAATACCTTGACAAGTAAAATCCGCCTACGTTGCAAAATTTGCAATTAAATTCAAAAATTTAAATTGTTTTCTGAGTGCATTATGTAAAGTAAAATGTAATAAATAGTGGTTTACCGTATTTTTCATGTCAATTATTATTGTTTCGAGCAAAAAAACATAGGTGTTCCATTTCAAAAACTAAATTTGGTAGCATTTCCGGCTACACCGTATGTGCTAAATAAATTTGATGCATTTTCTAAGAAAGCCAGGAATGAATAGTATTTGAAAATTTAGTTTAGAAAAAAAAAGTAAGTTTAGGTGTTATCGGCCGGGGCGACTTGGACCGAACAGCCTGTATATTGTTGTTCTACCGAAATATCTTTAAAATACAGTACAGTAAATTACTTTTCAATAATCAACACCTACTGTGTTTACCCAAAAACGAAGCACAATTTTTACTTAAGGAAAATTTTGTGCAATATAGTCAGATTACAACGTAAAAACTTGTAAGTTATTTGTAATATGGAACATACAGGGTGTATCAAAACCCGCACCCTATAGAAAAGTGCCAATCAAGTAAGATAAGACAGCAGGAACATGAAAAAAATGTTAAAACCCTATTTATTCCTGTTGGAAAAATAATTTTACATGTTTTTTTGCCATTAGAAGAGAAAACAAAGAAGCTGTATCCTCTGAATTGTAACAATGTTTAACGATATTTATGGTTTTTATTGAAAAAGTTTTTACCTTTATTGAATAATTATGAAAAAACATATACAAGATCATCATGTTCCTGGTATCTTACTTGGTACTTTTTAATAAAACGCGAGTTATGAAACACCCTGTATTGTGTGCTGTTTTATTAAATTATTAAAACGAATGTAAGTAATCTGACATTATTTTACAAAAATACATGCATTTGACACGTAACAAGCTAACTTATTTAGATTTAATTAACAAGAAATAATAAATAATACCAGCTATGTATGAATTTATCTTTAATTTGCTACAATTATAAAAAAAAACAAAATCCTGCTATAGGAAATTAGACATTTTACGATACTATTTTGTGTTCAGTTTATTAGGAACATATTTCAAACTTAATGCTTGTTGTACAATCCTTTTCATAGATGTAAGATAGAGACAATTATTACGTATCAAGTAATCCTGTATAACTTTCTGGTGTTTTAATTTAGGCCAAAACAAACGTTTTTGTTTTTTGTAGTTTGTGATGGCCAACTGAGCCACCAAATTTCCTTGTTAAGTATAAAAATGAATGAAATGAAGCATAATGAATGAAATTGGCACGAAAGACAGTCAACTTAAAATGATGACACACACCCTTTGCATGAGTTATGCTATAACCCAAATAGCCTGATTGAAGATTTGCGTTTTAATGATAAATATAAAAACATAATACAATTCAGTCACCCAAAACGATATATTTACATCGTATTATTGATACAAAAAACTACAACCTACAACATAACTTACAGTTTCAGCTAGATCCGGACACAGTTCTTTGAAAATTTTTTCAATCAGTGTACGTCTGAAACAAACATGATTGCTAATTGATGAATATTGAAACTGTAGAATTTACTTACTTTGCAGCTAGTCCACCACCTGGAGGAAACCCTTCAATGTTGAGTGATGCAAGCTTATGCAGCACCGTGGAGAATTCATTGATTTCGTTTTGTTCCACAATTTCTGCAAACAAAGAAAAAAATAAAACCAATAAAACACGTGCTTTGGTAAAACAGTCGTTTATTCAAACAAACCATATTACAATGGCACATAAAACAGCAACGAACAGAACGAGTCAAGCCAGAAATTTTCAACAAATGGAATGGTCCAAGCCGAAGCTTGAATATCAATTTTGATCAAAGAAGTTAAGGATGCTGCGATAAAATTATTGCTTTGAGTAAAAATCACGATTTTTAGGTCAGTCTTCACCTTAACTTCTTGTAATGGCCAAAGTTACACACGAAAATGGTTAATGACAACACAAAAACAATCAGGAAGACATAATTTTCAAATAACTAGAATTAAAGTGTATCATAGAATATATAGAAAATTTTCACAGAGATTAACGATATAAAGTGTTTTGTAAAAGACTAGAGAGAATTTTCTTAGGACTAGGGTGATTGTAAAGCTAAAATTGTCGGGAGATCACAAAGAGAATTCAGAGATCTCAAAGTTAAATCCAATTCTACAAGGTTGAATATATGCAATTCAAAAACTAATAAACAATCCCAGCCACTCCACTAAAAACACAAAATTTACTACATTATTACCCGTATTTTAGGTACACAATTTGGCAACTTTTATTTTAACTTCAATTCCAGTGGCATTTAAACTGGTCATTTTTTTGCCTTGTGTCTTAGTTTAATATTTTTGTCACATGTTGAATACCACTAAAAATTTATTAAAAACACTATTACAGCAACAGTTAAGTGTCGCATGCTGTAAACATGCAAAAAATTGTTAGGATTATGCATAAGATCAGTAGTTAAAATATGGCACTATTCACTTTTACCACAGAATTTATAATTAACATTCATTTATATTTAACAATTTTCTAAAATAGACTATTTTTTTGACTCTATTCTAATTGACTTTGCCAAAATATTTCTTTTGTAGGCATAAAGTCATAAGATGTTGATCATTTCTTTTTCAAACAAAGTCACAACCAAAACAAGCTTGCAATGTATATTATTGGCCCACAACCTTTTTTATTTAGAGATTTTTAGACTTACTAACGGTAATAAAACAGAAAAAAAGGTGTCACTGTCTAAACAGTTGATTGTTTATGCATATTACTCATCCTTAAAGTGAGTTTTTAAAGACCTCTGCATTCCTCATAATTATTAAAATAATACATTGTATTTATTGTGTAAACTATGAACACATACATCGTGGTAAAATTTACTCCTAATTAAAATCTAGTGTTAACAAGGAAGGAATCTACTATGCTTGTGATTTTAAAGGGAATTGAGTGATTATACATTATTTGAGTTGAACTATTTAAAACTTATCAGCTATGGTATGTTTTATGGATTGTATAATATGACTGTTAATACTGAGGATCACTAATTGTAAAAATAAAATGAGCAAGAGGAATCTAATACTGAAATAATCACAACTTGATGAAAAAGGAGGGCAGTTATATTATTTGGTTCAGTGTTTCATAAAATATCTTTGTAAATTGCAAACAAAACAAAAAACAACATAAAAAGCACAGCTATGATAAAAAAAAATGTTAAAAAAAATACTAAGATCAGGCATTGACTAGAGAGTTAACATGTTTTAAGATCACTTGATAGAAAAGAAAGCAACGTTAAATACCCTGACAAGAGAAAAAATTAAAACAACCTTTTATACGCCTCTCCAGACTCGCATCGAATTCCTTTTCGGCATCGATAGCTTCTTGAGTGGGGGTCGGAGCGCCAGGAAACACAACTAACACAATACTCATATTATCTCGACTACCCTGTAACAAACTCATCATTAAAACCCCCCCAAAAACCCTTAAAACCCACTCACTTTGTACAAACACGTATCGATAACTTGACTGGTAACTTCCTGTAAATTATCGGTGACTAAAAGGCGATTATGTATATACTGGCAGAGATCCTCGTTGCTCATCACATCCCAAATCCCATCGCAGGCCAACACTAGAAACTCGTCTTCTTTATCATCCCTATCCCTGACGAAGATTTCAGGCTCAGGCGACACCAACTGCTCGCAGGGTCCTCTTCCTTCCACATTTTTGTACTCATAATCCCCCAGAGCTCTCGAAACGGCCAAACTTCCATTCACTCGTTGGATCATTACGTTGCCTCCTGCTTTAACAATGCGCTCTCTTTCTGAGGGTAAACCAGGCTTGTGGTCTTGGGTGGTAAAAACGGGGCTGCCACCACGACACAAAACAGCGCGGGAATCCCCACAATTCGCTACATAAATAAGTCTAGGTGAAACGAATGCACAGACGGCCGTTGTCCCACTTTTGTCTTCACCGGACGTCATTTCAGGTAACGAGCGCATTTTATTATCTAACTCTAGAAAACCATTGTGGATGCCTTTCATCACGTCCTCTTGGAACTCCTCCGTTTGCATAATGGCGTCAAGGAGGTGCTCCGCGCAGTGGGCTGATACCTTTGCAAATTATACCAACATTAAGACGCAAAAGGTTTTGTTTTGATAAGGAAACAAATTATTTATGTAATTGGGTTATTTTTTTTTATCTTAGGAGTCATGACCTATGAATACTCTGATTTCAGCCTGAAATAAATGCTCATTGAACAACAAAACATTTACTTCATTTTGCCAAAAATAAATATTAAAATCTCACAGTTGCAATGTGAAAAGTGAACACAACAACAATTGCAAACTAACCACATGCGTTACAAAACCCAAAAATTACAATTCATAAAAAATTATTACTTTGCAAAATATTTTCTAGAATACTTATTGTTACCACTAATAAATTTACTTATTTATTTTATACTATTTCAGATGCTAATCCATATTGGAAACTTGACTTTTATTTCTATTAATTTTTTTAATACTTTTCGTTAAAAATTACGGAATTTTGTATAAGCATAGCGATAAGCACGTTATGGTATTGGATAATAGCTCAAATATTCTTTAAATAAAGTACATAAATTAACACAAAGTATCGCTTATACATTATTAAACCCAGGGGCGGACTGGCCCTCGAGTCTTACGGGGCCCCCAATTATGGTAGACTTATTATGTCAAGAGCTCATTGAAATAATATCAATGATTTTAAATTTTTTAATAAACCGCGATTTTCGCAGAAGCTAAGTGTGTTTAGTTTGAAGGAATTAAAAAATTGCCATCTTAACAAATAAAACTATAAGTTCTATAATTTTAGCTCAATTTTGTTTAGGTCTTACACGCATGTAAGAAAAATTCCACGTGAATTTATACAGGTGATTCAAAAATTTGTGTTATAATTTTAATCACGAATACTCCTCTACAAATGAGCATAGATTACACAGTATTTATTAATCCAACTCATTAAGCAATAGAAAAATTACAGCTTTTATAATCATCAAGAAATAAACAAATGTTCCTTTGGATTTAATGAAATTAACATTAAATATATTGTTTCTAAGGTACGCTCAAAATTTGTAAATGCTGATTTTGCAGCGCGGTGTAGAATTTAGTTTAAACTCAAATAACTCGAGAACGGTACATTTTGGCGATATGAATCTACCTTTTTTATAAAAAAAAATGATTGGGCTGTATCAAAAATAGAAACTAATAAGCCGAAAAAAAGTTATGATCCCAAAACTGCTACTGCTTCTACAAGACTTCCGTTTACACCAAATCAAAGAGTGTCTTTTTGTCCTTTAACATGCAAAATTTAATAATAATCGGATAAACAGTAACAAAAATATTTCCAGAAAATCATTTTTTCATACCGAAGTTGTAATTTTTCAATTTTTGAGGTGGGTCAATAAATACTGTACTATTTATTCTCAATTGTAGAGAGGTATTCGAATTAAAATTATGCCACACATTTTTTAATCAACCGATATAAAATATCGTTTTTATTTAATTTAATTTAAATTATTAGTGGGCATAAATAATGGAGAATTCTAAATATAAGATAAATTTAATTTGGTGCACAGAAACGAAAAGAAAAGCAAAAATTAAAATTACGAGCAGCCTCTGAAAACGTTCATCTAAAAACTTTATTTCCGTTTATTAAACCATTATGATTTTAACTGACGTCACAACAAACTCCTTCAAAAAAAAATTACTACATTAAGTGACAAGTAGTTTTTATGCATATTTTTATTGTATTGTATATTGGGCCCTCATTTCAACTTAGCACTCCATATAAAAATTTGTCAGTCCGCCCCTGTTAAACCAACATCGCCTGGTCTTGACACATGATTAGTCATTTATTTACACTAGTAAAAAATCCTAGAAAAAGTCTTCTTAACACTTCTATTTTTATTGCATAAAATAAAAAATCTATAGTTGCTGCAGATTTTGAACAATTTTTGACTCTACCTTTTTTAACACCAATACACCCCAAAAAGTAAAAAAAAACCTATTCTTTAATGATTTAAAAGGAATCTTTGGCCGACAAATTGGTACACACATGTAGATCTTAATCTAAATGTGATAAAGATATTTTTGTTGTTAAATTGTTACATATATTTTTCATTGTTTACTGTGTATTTAAATATGTGCATTAGATAAATATTTAGTAATGCGTTTCCATCATGAGCTTTCCTTTGTTAAATAGACAAATGTGACAAAAATACGAAAAACCCACTCATAGTTTGTTTAATAGTGACACATAAATAAAGTTTCATTTAGAGTAATACATAGTTATTTGTGTTTTATTAAAAGTAGTATATCGTAAAGGAACTTTTATGATTCTATAAAATAATGTTCCATACTTACTTTTATAGTTTTGTGTAGATATACACTACACTGTTTATAAACAATAATGAAAAAAAAAACAAAAAAGATTCTTGTATGTTAAAATTATTTACATTTCAATATGTTTAAACCAGGAAAATAACCCAAATATCAAATTTTGTTAAAAAATGCAATAATTCATCAGATTTTAAGATGGAGGTGACGTAATAAGTCCTGAGGAATTCGTGATTAAAAACAACAATTAAAGCCATTGAAAGGTTGTCCTTTTCTTAAATAAATTAACGCAATTACGTAAATTAAAGTATTTAACACTTTTGTTGTTTCTTTTTGGTTGTAAGTGGCAAGTGTCATTGCATAACAGTCAATATTGTTAAAATGATTGTTTATTCTTGAGGAGGAATTCGTTTGGCCACACTACGATTTACCTTGGCCCCAGCATGGCCATCGAAAACGGCGAAATAAGACCAGTCTTTAAGAGCGTCCCCCAGGTTTGTCTTGGCCATGTGTGCATCTTCCATTTCGACCCTCCAGCCCTGCATGCTGGCGACTCCATAGCGCAGCCCATTGCCTTCTCCACACTCTTGGAATTTATCTGTCTTTGGCTTGTCAAGAAATGCTCCCATTCTTTGTATATAATTGGTTGTATAATATTTGTCAACGGCGCTCCATCTTAATTCGACTCCACGTGCTGTAATCAATAAATTTTCGTTAAAAATTTTTCAAAACTATCGTGTTTACGTGCAAAATTTTGACACTACGAACGATGTAAACAGACGCTATTTCAAAACGAACAATGGCTTGCTAAATACACTTACATTACTTTCCACACGAAACCAATGCTTCGATTCCCTGATCATTTACATAACAAAATCTCATGCTTTTTTAATAAACACACAACAATAAATTATAAAAATGGCGAATTTAAAAGACGTTACGCGTGCGCTTTGCTAAAAATAGAACTTCACATGACGTAATTTTACACCAATCAGAATCAAGCGAAAAATAGACAAGGTTCACACAATCGACCACAGATGACACTAGAGTGCTTAATTCTGCCCACTTTTCTATCATTTTTAATTTCAATAAATTATGTGACAGCTTTAAATGCATATTACTTACCAAAGATCAAAATGTATTTTTGGCAAAACCTTCAAACGGTCTCGCAAATAATCACTGATAATGGAATTAATCACCATCAAATATTTAAAAATGGTGTATTGTTGGTTGCATAACATTGTTTGTAAAAAAGCTGTTTTAGTAGGAAAAAGAGGGGTAAAGCGAAAAAACTAATTTTTTAACGTACTGCAATCAAAAAGTTAAAAAAATAAGAAATTTGATTCATGCACTTACTTTACACCAAATCCTTGTTTTTACTTATGAAATTTTTTAAATTGTCTTTGCAAAAGCATTCTATTAACGTTAAAAATGTATATCTTTTTCATTAAAAAGTTTACCCACGTGTTGCACCTATCCTGCTATTTTATTGAAGTGAAATATTTTTTTACTTTTATTACGTTTATTACAAGTTTTAATTTTATTATTATTAAACAGTTAAAAATAAAATTACTTTTATTTGTAACTGGCAAATAACTCATTTTTTTTTGACTAAGTATTGTATAGTATTGTATATTCACGAGAGGGTTATTTTTGAAAAAAATTTGCCGCAACCAACAATACCAATATCACTAACTGCTAAATTAAATATGTTATTTCTTTGAAATTAGAAATCAAAGTAAGTTGAATAGATTTGTCAGATTGACAGATAACCTACATTTAATCAAAATTCAACAAATAAATTAACAATGTTAATGCATCGTTTGAGAGATGATTTTTTTGCTTTAATGTCAAAGAGACAAGACTAATAACAGATATCGTGGATTCAGTTACAATTATTTACAAAATTTGAAATCAAGAAATTGTTGCAATATGTATAACGGGTTGCGGCAAAAAAATCAGAAATAATCCTCTCGTGAATAACCCTGTATAAAGAGACACAAAAGATGAAAAATTTTTGTTTTTGCGAACAGAGATTTCCCTATGCAAAAAATCATATATGTAGATCTAGGAATATTTAATATTTTTGTAAAACCTATAATTTTTGATTTTTCTAATTTTTTAGGTAGTAGGAGGGAGTTCAAAACATCTATACTTTTTCATATTAATGTGCATCAAGTAAGTTGTAAAAGTCTAAATGCGTCTTTTATTTAAAGGACGATTCACACAAAAAGTATCATTAATGTCATTCAGCATAATGAGATTTTTTTTTCCACCTTATGTTAATTACGTTGTTAATTTTAATTATTTTTTGTTACCTCAAAAACTGGGGTACACATAATTATTTGAGAAAATAATTTTTGGGGCAGATCGAGGTTGGGATTGCTTGAATTTTCGCATGGTTGCCACCTTAAATGATCCCTTTCAACGACTACTTCGATGCACATTAACATGAAAACGATTATATTTTCGTAATCTACGCCTCAAAATACATGACGGTAGTTAAGGCTCCAGACCCCCTGAAAGCTGGCGTATACCTATTACATGTAAATTTATTTCATTGTTTTTAGCCGCAAATTTAGACTTGAAGAGTTTCTTGATGTTTGTAGTGTTTCTTTAAAGGTAAATGGAGACCAGAGAAATATTCCTGCTTTAAATAAGTTAATAGATATTTTTTTATTGAATAAAATGTGAAAATTTTAATTATTAAGATTTTTTGATAACGGTATACCGTATTGAATTAAAAAAAAAACATTTTATAGGTAATTTAAAAATAGAGTGCCCTGATATAATGCGAATTTGATAACTGTTCTTGATTCTTTGATATAAAGCAAAAATTAAATGGAAAGTAGGCAACCAATAATACACAATCATTTCATAAGGTCCGGTACCTGCTGTAAGATATACGACCGCACCCCAGGGTGTAACCCACAACATTATCGTTTTATTGCGTTTGTTCAAAGCAAAGATAGCATCTGCACCCCTCAAGAAGAGAATTGTTAGTTCATTCCAAAACTTCATTTTTTTTAATTATTCGTCTATTTAAAAATAAATTAAAATAATAGATAGGTTTAATATAAAGGCACTAAGCCCAATACGTAAACCTAAAAAATAACAAATTAAAATATAATATTTATATTAATTTCACTGAGGACGGTTTTTGCTTAGGAATTATTATATGGGTTGGTCTTTACGGACAGCTCTAATTAGCCAAACTAATTTTGTGTGACATTTACTTGAAATGATTTTTATGAAAAGGCAAAACCCATCGCAAAACTTCCACCTGTGGAAGGAAAAGATACACTTTCCTCCCTTGTAATACAAATAACTATTAACATATCTAAGATGTAATGATAATAATGTCATAACTACATGCATGTCAATTTCAATCAAAAAAATTACAAAAACTAAAAATTTAAAATACCTAGGGCATTACACACGTGTCTTATAAAACAACATATCCGAATGTGGCATTTTTTTAATAAGGTGGCAAAAAAATAATGAAATAACTCTGACAAAAATTAAATTTTATATTTTTGAATTGCTTTTACTAGAAAGCTAATTATTGACACCTACTGTATAAACAGTTTATTCATATACACAAGCCACATTTCACAGAAATTCATTCAAAACAGTATTTTCTTGTGTTTACATTTGCCTGTCAATTTTCTAGTTTCTTCCTGAAACTACAGTAAATGATTTGATTCTGAAAAAGAGTCCATCTAAAATACTTTAAATTCAAAGAACGAGAAAAACCACATGATTTTTGTTAGTTTCTTCAAAGTATTTGTTTTAAAATAATTAATAAAAGTTAAGTAGATGCCTACCTGGCTGATGTCCAAGTTAAATGAATAGTTTGATTTTCATATTAACACTTAATTTTCGATTATGCTCAGATTAGAAACATACTTAATCATCGTTTCAGAATAAAATAATTTAATTTAGTTATTTTTTTTCTGAAAACTGGTCTCTTTGGATTAGGTCCTAATGTCTTGGCTAGTGACTCGCTTAAAAATAATATTAGCTCGAAATTAATTGTTTATTGAAGAAAAAACAAACAAAGAATAAAGCAACTTTTCTTTGAGTTATAATTCATTAACTGGTTCGTTGCCAAATGAAAAAATTTGAAAAGCAAATTTTCCCCATTAACGAAAATATCAACAGTTTAAAATGGATCGAATTAGTTTCAGGCGGGTAATTTTCCTCATAAATCATGTAGAATGTGATTCAGAAAAGCGATTTTCCTTCTGGCTTCAATTTAATACATGCAGACAAAGTGGCACAGTGGTTGCCTTGAACTGTTATCCTTGACCCCGGAAATCATAAAATAAATATGCGCGCGTTGCTGAATAGATTTTCCTAGGAAAAGCTTTAGTTTGACGCAAAATGCCACATTCGAATAAAACTAGGCCACGATTATTCATATTGTATTTTATTTTTAATCAGATTTTCGATGGATTTGCAGACAGGTGGCCCACGCTAGCCTGTCTTGGCACCCAATGACTGACAAGATGGATTTGTGCTTTACTTCAACGTACTGCCAAATATAATGTTGAAAATCGGATAAGCCCTTGCATAAAGTTTTGAAAATTTTAATACTATACACATTTGGCAAAAACAACTACGGTGATATAAAATTACAAATAAATTAATTAAGATTTGTATTTTTAGCATCAGTCTCCACGGTTTTTGTTTGTTGTCACACTTATTGTAAGTTTAATAAAGTTGGCTTCCTCAAATATTTGGCCCAAGTCCAAAAACATGGGTTTGGAAGAGGTCAAAAGCTCAGACTACAACTGCTTTTTTGTTGGAGTTTTACGCTTAATTTCAGTTTTATTCTTTTAGTGAAATAAACACTAAATCTAATTTCTAGAAATTTAACTACTATAATTTAAAAATATTATATTTTATTCTTCGACATTGTCAAAATTTACGGTTTTTTTTCTCTGTAAGGAAGTTTTGACAACTGTTTGGCATATCTCAATGCGAAACGTCAGATTATTTTTAACAGATTTAAAGCAATTTAAAGCCTTGTCGAGTCTAATTCGAAGAATAAAATGTTGTATTCAACTCGTCTTCGTATAAATCGGTTCATTTAGTCCACCTCGTAGATGAAAAAGCAATTGGTTTAACAATCCACTCGTGATAAAAAGCGTCCGATTTACACTCAAACTCGTCGAATAAATAACTATTAATATGAAAAAGTGTTAAATTTATGTTTTTAATTAAGTTGATTTGATTGATTTCTATAGCTAAACCTATTTTGCAACTTTTGCGTTTTTTTAGTTACTATAAATACATACACAGGACACGGAATTTTGGACTTATGTCAGTTCAAAAAATGTCAATGTAAGCCACGTTTTATTGTCATTGTGATTGACGTTTGAAACTACAATTTGAAAGTTGTAGAAATTTATTTTTGGCGTCGATTTTCCGAAACAATAATGCCAGTAATACGTGTTTTTATATAAGTTCAATAAATTATTTTGATTTGTTGTCAGTTTTTTCTTTAGCTATCAGATGAAAAATTACAAAAACTGAAAGTGTGGTTAGTTGTCTAAGGCCCGTTTTACATTTTTATTTCTGTCGAATGACAAATCGTCCAAAATTCTGTGTCCGCCAGTGTATGCTGTAAAAATTATGAATACAAATAATACGTGTGTCGTTAATGTCATTTGTTTTAATAGAAAAAAATAATTTTATTTTATAGAAAAAAAAAATAGAAAAAAAGTAAACATACGTACAGTTGGAAACAAAATACTTTAGTCGTCAATGTCACTTGAGTGACATTAAATTGTAAAGCATGCTTTAGAATTGTTAACCTTATTTTTAGCTACTGTCAATCATAGTTGACAAGTTGTATGTACAGTTACGGAATTAAAATTTCGGGCAGTATTTTTCTGTCACTTCAAAAAGTTCACTGTAAACTACCTTTTACTGTCATCATGACATAAACATGACAAGAGTATAAATGAGGTTA